TGCTTTATTAGATACACCTGTACAGTCTAATGCATTAGGTCGCACTGTGCAGACGCAGGCGACGTCACTTCCTTAAGCCACACTCGTGGCATTATTTAGAAGACAACAAACAAAGTTAAGTTTGACACAGAGAAAGGGGCCGATGGCCGGCCAGCTGGGGTTCATCTTTGGGAGGAAAAGAAGAAACAACATTTGGAAAATCTTTCATTACATAGAACTGGAAAAGAAAACGGAGTGTGTTGTGGAAAAAGATGGGGAGAAATGTGGCCACAAAATCACACAAAATGCATATTGGATGTATTCGTGAGTCTATAAGGTAACAATAATATAATAAGATTGTTTGAAATGGGTTTGGCTAAAAGAAAATGTTGGTTTCGTCTATACTACTAGGTACTTATACTATATTGATTGGGTTAAATTCGTCTCTAAAAAGAGACAAATACAATTTTCATTGACTAAAACTAGATAAATAGTCGTGGATAATTCTGACTAAAATAAGACTAAAATGCTCAGACTTTTAGTTGACTGAAACTTGACTAGACTAAAAAGAGTATGAACATGACAAACTAATAAAAACTAATAAAAACTAAAATGACAGCTTCACACAAAGACTAGAATAAAACTAAAATTAAAATAGGCCGCCAAAAGCAACTGTACTCCAGGCAAGTTCTAGACGCATGTTGAGAACTATTAAAGCAAACAGGATGCACTGCTGCAGCAAAGGGCCTGGATGAGAGATCTTGGATCTCTTTAGACACATTGACAAAATATTATTATGGTGTTTTCAGAATAGACTGACGGGTAAAAATGGCAATTTAATCAATTTACAATCAAATCTACAACATACCAGTGTGCAAAAAGTGAAGGGGTCTGACTACTTTGTGAAGCCAGTGTAAATGATGGGGAGAGCAGCTGGAACACCGGAATATAATATGGTCCACTACTTCACCACCAACTAATCAGAATATTATAGACATCATAAAAGCAGACTTTATGGCAGAGCAGTTGTATTGAATTGCACTGGTGTACCTAATATATAGCAAAATATATAGCCATGTTGTAAAATATAATGTGCTGCTGTAGGTGAAATGAACCAACAATTTACAAAGCTTGTAAAGGCTGCTCCACCATGAACCGCCTGAAACATTAAACTGGGCATTACATGGTAGTGCTTTGGTAATAATTATATTTCCTTAATAGAGGTGTATAATGTTATTACAGTCTAAAAGTGGACAATCTTTCTAAGGGTATTGCCCGAGTCTAGGGTGAAATGTGTATTAAATCATGGAAGAAAGTAAAAGCTTCCCTTTTGTGTCACTTCTATTTTAGTCTGTTTAATTAGGATTTCTTTGTCTTTCTGGGCCACAGGGAGGATGCTCAGGCACCAAAGCGAGTGTCATGGGCAAAGAGCAACACCAGCTCAGATGTTGTGTCCAAGAATGGCACACTGTCTTCTATAGCCACCAGTCCTCAGCCGCGAGACGCCCATCAGCCAAACTTTCACTACCCTTACTCCCCCACCCCAGCTTCAGACACAGGCTCAGTGATGAACTCTTACCAGCTGCGACCCGGAGAAGCCAAAACCCTACAGGGACTTCCTGGTTACAAAAACGGAGGCACCTCTTCGCGTAAACACAAGCGGCCTCCCAGTACAAATGGGGTCCCTCCGCAGGTTTTCAGGAGCCCTGCAGTCACCGTCCCCAACAGGACTGAGGGGGCTCAGCCTCAGGTGCCACCACCGCTCACTGTGTGCCCACAGATCAGCTCCTCCACTCTGACACACATAGGAGCTGTTGCTGTCATGGTGCCTGCTCAAAGCCAAGCTGGCTCGTTGGTGTAGCCAGCACAAGAATCTCTAGTGGGGACCGAAAAGACGAGGTTACAGATGGAGGGAAAGTATGCCTTGATATGGAAATCGCCTTCTTCATGAAGACGTGACAGGTTGTGCCAGAAGACAATGTCTCGCAGGTGGTTTGTGTTTCACTTCCACAAACTCTCCCTTTGGCTTGTGATGTTCATTTCATTTTCTTTTTGGATGCTGCCCTCTGCCTCACTATTTACATGCTTAGAAGTTTTCAAAGGGGTATTCAAATAGAGTTAATCAACATCTATGTCAAAAGAATTTTCCAAACAGGGCAACGAAGTCACTGGAATGGTAATAGCAGTAATCTTTACTTTCAGCAAGGAGACTAGTCAGTATGAGCATATAGAGTTGTCTGAATGAGACTTTTGCAGTTCTTGCGAAATATGTTTTGGCTACATTTTTATTTGAGTGAACTAAATATGAAAACCTTTTTTCCTCTTTCACTGTACCCGGCTGTGTAAGGACCACTGTTCAGTCACTTTTCTCAGGCTAACTAGTCACTAGCTCAGAGCAAAAACCAAGCAAAATAAACGATATAGTACATGTACAGTGCTTTTCTGTGCACTGCAGCACACCCAGAGCTTTGACATTATTTGCCTATTCACCCATTTGCACTCAAACACACAGATTCACACACCAGTGATATCAACGGGAGCAATTGGGGGTTCGGTGTCTTTGCTCAAAGGACACTTCAACACGTGGACTGGAGAAGCCGGGCATCGAACCGCCAACTTTCCGGTTAGGTGATGAGCTGCTCTACCTCCCTAGCCATAGTGGCTCCTAAATCAAATTCCAAATCCAGGTCCTGGTAATGTTCTCCTTTGAATATCTCACTTTCTTTGACTTACAGTTGCTTGTGCTCATGTTTTGGTTGTTTAAGTCACTGTAGTCATGTCAGTAGAGTTTCATGGCTCTGATGCATACTGTATGAGTATATTGCCTGTTAGGGCAAATAGAATGTACCTAAAATATTAACAATGAAGTTGATGGTTTGACTACTTTGTTCAAAAGTGCTCAGTACGGGTTGATTACTGTTAACAAACACGGCCATCAGTTGAGAAAACGGTACAGAGGAT